TTTTCTCTTTCTTTTCTTCCTTCCCTTCCTTCCCACTGTTCTTTTTACCCGACCACGGTAAATGCAGTGCGAGGGGAAGTAAGCAAGACTACCTACATGATACCGGAGAGGGAAGCGAGGACAATGCCAGGCTCACTTACATCATAAAAGGGCGTCGCACCTTTGCGAGGCGTTTACGACGAAGGCGACGACGGCTTCACAGAAGAATGTAACGCGTCGTACTCCGCTAAACGGACCTCTAAGTGCTGCTTGCACGTCTGCGAGCAGAGGCAATGCACAAAGGGAACAGACTGCAGTGCGGCAATGTTGTGGAATGTTATAAGCACCTCGTAGTTCCTTAGCCGCACGCAGCAGTTGGAGCAGTCAACGCACATAATGTGGGGGACGAGGGTCGCCGGGGCTGCGCCCAAAACTTCCTCTGGAGTTAAAAGCGGATTGTTCTCCAGCGTCAAAGTCTCCAGTCGTGGCAAAAAAAGAATACCACCAGGAAGAACGCGTAGTTTGTTGTTGTCCAGCCGCAATTCCTCAAGACTCTTTAACTGCCAGAATTCCATTGGCAGCGACTGGAGCCGATTGTTGCTCAGGTACAGACGCTCCAGGTGAGAAAGACGCCCAAGTTCTATCGGAAGAAAATTCAGTCGACAGTAGCTCACATTGAGCCAGCGGAGCCGGCCGAGGTCCCCAATCGCGGGGGGAAGCCACTTGAGAGAGTAGCTGTTGTCCACATGCAGCACCTCAAGGGTCTCACGAAGCGCCTTGATGGCCACCGGGATGGCCTCCAGATCCTCATCGTAGCTGAAGTAAAGCGTGGGGGACCTGTCGTTGTATGCCTTTTCCACAGCGTCCAAAAAACGCCTCTCTGCTTCTGCCATTTTAAATAAAATTCCCTGCACTTTCACCTCCCCCTTTCCTTTTTTTTTTACTGGTAATATACGTCTGATGTGTGTTTGTGTGGGAGGAGACGACTACCGTCACTTCTCCCTTCTGCCTGATACGCGCAAATGCCTGCCAAAAGTGAGACAACAGACAACAATTAAAAGGAAAAGAAAAGTAAAACAACAACAATACGACAGTGCCCCAAAAGCAAATACACAGACGCACACACACACACAGAGAGGGAGGGTGAGGGTGAGGGGGAGAAATACTTAAAAATTCGGAGGCAGATGCAAACGCAGAGTTAAAACGCAGACCTCCTCCTCCTCCTCCACCATCACCTTCTCCTCCCTTCTTCTGGTTGATCGACCTTTTTTTCTTTTTTCCCTTCTTCTTCTTCTTCTTCTTCCTTCCCTCCGTCCTCCTCCTTCTTGGGGCTCATCAACACTGCATTGAAGAGAGCAGAATAAAAAACAACAACAACAACGCAATTTATAAATAAATTAAATACATAAAAAAAAAAAAAAGCAAGCATCGGAAGGTTCATTAAGCAGATTGTCCCTCTAAACTAACAAGGGAGGCGCCAAGTGCCCAGGCGGTCTCAAAGCCGTTGATTTTCTTCGCAATATGCAACTTCTGCTCAAGGGGGAATCCAAAGCCGTAGCGAAGCAGCGTAAAGAGATAAGAAAGTTCAAAACACTCCATCTCGGGCTTCAATGAGCCTTTGTTTTTCTTCGTGTCGTTTTGTTCAAGGAGTTCCCGCACAGACTTCATGGAACGGCACACTTGACTAGCAATATCCAATACATCCTGCACACGGATGACCTCATCTTTTATGTATGGCTTTAGGCGGTCGTAGTAAAAGGAGAAGGCATACACAGGGACCATTGGCACGGCTGAAATATCCGGCTGAAAGACACCATTGAATCCACAGGAATTACTGCCGCACGGTTGATGTTTCCGAACGACGTGACGGCGGAAAAGCGCCGAGCATTCCTCCATCGATGGCACCTTACCACCGTCCCTCGTATTAGAAATGCCTGTTTCCGTGTGAACGTATCCTTTTGGAAAACAGGGGAAGGCATCAACGGCCACGTCAGCAGAAGCACCGGGAGTCGCATCCGTTCCTGTGGCAATTTTATTCGCCGCTTGGACCTTGGAGTTCGCACCGGTGTTGTTCGCTGCCACGGCCTGGAGGAGTTGTTCCTTAGCAGCGTGCAATCCATTGCCCTCGTAACTATGCTGGTACACCACAAAAGAACGACCATTCACCTTAAGTGCATATGAGA